GCTATTACATAATCATTATGGCTATTCTAGTATTATGTCATGCATAAATTGCCTCTTGGTCAGCTAATTTTCTATTACCACAGCTCATAGTTTTTTACCTTTTTGATGTGAATGGATTGTTCGCGCATTTTTCTAGCTTGTAAGGGGTATGGTGATAGTTGGCAATTGATTGTTTCGCGTAAGCCTCGGTCGCGTCACGATTGTCGGTCACGTGACCACGGCGAAAATTCTGAACTTTGTTTGACTTCTTTGGCCTTTAACAATATATATTGTATATACAGTATATATTCTATATATATAATTTTTTATGATTTGCTTTTATCTCTTTTATTAAAAAAATAATTTACCTGTTTAATATATACATACTATATATGCTGTATTTTTAATTTAAAAAAATAAAAAATTGAAAGAAAATTATTTACAAGGTTTTTATATGAACCAAACAATTTTATCAAAGTATTTGTTGTGCGCTATAATGTATAATGCAGTACCTACTCATTACAAATTTCATGAATAAAACTATACTAACAAATATGTTTTTTTTTTTTGTTTCCCATATCAGTTGATCGTTATAGGTAAATTTTGATTTTTTTATAATAAAGATAAATTCCAAGATTATTTGGTACGTATAAAGCAATTCTATACCTGTTACTTGGCCAAAAAAGTACTCCTTTATTATTCTATCATGATATGTTTAATATCATAAACTACCGAACATAGTAATTTTAGATTCATTTAAAAGTAACAAGAAAACTTTGGTCGTCCAGACAATATCCGCGTGCCCCTCGGCTTCGAGAACTAACTGCCGAAAGGAAAGATGACACCCGATTTTTTTGCTAGGTAAATCTCTTTAAGGCCATGATGAAATAGTCAGGGCTGGCTTCATTATTGTGATTCACTTTGAACATTTCATGAATATATGAATATTTACAATTCTTCGCAATTCATTGTATTAAACGATGTCTGCCATTTGGTTATCAAGAAAAAAAAAATCTTCGCTATTAATTGTACTAAACGATGTCTTCCAGTCGGTTATCAATCACCTTCGCAAAAAAAGAAGCGAATGCCTCCCATGACCACAACGACATCTACCCTTAATGACCTCGGCAGTATCCTTTTTGAAAAGTCGGATCAAAACAACGGTTCCCTGCTTGTCACAAGTTAAAATAATTCTTAAAGTGAAGGGGTTTCCGGTCCATTTCCCGTGGAAATCGACCGGAAACCCCCTCACTTCGACCCGCGATTGAGGGGGCCGTGAACATGTGTACGATGAATTGCATTAATAAACACCTTTGAAATAGAGAACAATCTTGCTAATGAGATCAGGTGGGTTCGGTTCGTCCGAAAAAATCGTAAAACAAACAAACAAAAAAAAGTCCACGAGTCTCGTGAATCAAGATAAATTTGTAAGAATTATGTTGGTCCATCTGTCTGATGATGGTCTACAGTATATATTATTCGTGTCAAGTATATTTGATATGATGAATTGTGGATATTGAAATTGGAAGAATGAGTGTGATTCCGGTTAGAGAGAGGAAAAATGTTACAAGTCTTCAATGATAACATTCATTTAAAGCACGCGTGTTTTTCGTTTTCACGAGGTCAATATAAGCTTGAACCATATATCGCAATCGTTCAAGTATAGAATCGGTGATATTATATATGCATATATACGTATATACTGTATAATATATTTTTTCCCGTCATGCGTTTTTTTTTTTTTTTGCGTGGTAAAACTTTCATAATAAGACGCCCCTGGGATAAGTAATTCTTAGTCACAAAGTTCTAGATGAAAAAGCTCACAGAGACGCGTATTACTATAGTATTTGTCACAAATACTGAGGTTTAATTAACTAATTAATTAATTAAATGATAACATTTCGAAGTAAGATCAAAAAGGTCGATTGAATCGAATCGACTGACTAGCTGCTAAGCTAAGTTGGAGGGTCGGTGAAATATGTACTGTACGTATAAGTATGTAGTATGATTCTATTTACCATACAATTGGAATTTACGTGCACAAATTACACACGTATCAAATTGAAAGTGACAATATAATAATAATGTGAAACAATGTTGTAGGAATAAAGTCATAACGTCAAATAGGAAATTAATGATCAATGTGTCTGTCTAAGTGATTCAACTTTTTCTCTTAAGAACGCTTTCATGAATTTATAAGCTTGATTTTGAATTTTCGGACTGCTACTTTCACGAGGACCCGCGACATTCAAATCCTTGACCTTGTTTCTGTTGGTCCATTCGAGGACATCGTTGACCTTAGTGGTCGTATCGTCAAGGAAAATTCGAAGAAACGGTTTACCTAAAAGTTTGGCTTTTTCTAATGTATACTCTGTTCCCTGGTCTGGTGGCGTTAGGGGTAAGAGTAGAACCAATGTGGCATCTGAATCCCTAATGTTTAGTTCAGTTCTTTCTTGATATGAGTCAGTCGTAGTCTCCACTAATGGATATTCTAGCGGAATTTCGCCATCTTCAGCCAATCTCCCTCTCGGACACCATCCAGTAACTCGCACATGGTCTCTGTAACGTAGAGCAGCATCTAGGGCTGCTCTATCAACACCAGTCTGACCGCCAGATCTGATGGTGAAAGTAGTGTCTTTTTCTTCAGACATACGAAACAAATTTGAAGAAGGTAAAGGTATGTTCACACAACTGTCGTGAGTGACCTAGATTCAACTGGTCATTAAGTGATACGGTGCGGTGGCGGTAACCCCTTACCATCGCACCAAGTTTCATTACTATTATTAATAAAGAATTTACGTGAGGTGAGATATGTGATGTGTATGAATGGAACATAATGGAATGAAAAATTAACAGTGACCGATCCACGTACGTACGTGAGTGCGTATAAATAATGACCTTACACCCCCATTTCTATTATGAACGATATGATTGTTCGACTGGTAATCATCACCATATCGAGTTCTATTATAAGTACAGACGTACCTATGTTACACGTACAGTACATAGTCGTAAAACAATGTGAACCCATTTGACGTGAAAAAAAATTGGCATCTGTATGCCGTACAGTATTCACAGCATGTAAAATGTATATTTCTTGTTTTCATATCGAATTGGCTAAACAAGGTGAGGCGGTACTCGTCACATAGTATTAAAATCATAGCCGTATACCTGTTTATCAAATACTTATGTAAAGGTGCGTTTAAAGGTGAGACACCGAGCTATGAAATTTCCAAAAAAAAAGAACGAATGCAGCTGCGTGCGTATCCTTGACAATTCAGAAATTTGAATCCATCAGGAGAGGGTAATTTTGATGGCAGATTCCTCAAAAATTTGTAAAGTTATATATCGGGTATCATATATACGCATACGGTATAGGCTTTACAAAAAAATCGTTTAAGTCGGATACAGTTTAATCGATCGAGAGTGTGGGGAAGTCAACGTAGTACCGAAAAACGACGTGTTACAAGAAGCTGTTGAAATACAGATTTCATAGAAGTGCGCACAAGTAACGTATTGCATGGGATTTTATGACAAAAAAAATCATACATGTTTATTTACCTACCACCTACGCGCTCAAGAAATTCAACCACCAGTTAGGTTGCACACACGTGCGTGCGTTCATGCGTACTGTGCCGGCGCGACCAATTATTTAGGAAAGAACTTGAGGCTTAGATGATAAGTCAACATTCCGACATTCGGAATTAGTGACATTAGATGAATCGCAGGTGTTTTTCATAAAATTTAATCCAGTCAAGAACAGGAATTGACGCATGCCGATACGTCCTGTACTTGTGGTGCATGTTCGAATACTGTTTAATCCTGTTATATGAACGGTTTTGACATTTTTTAATGAAATTACAGTACGTGTTGTAAACAAACAATGAAATGATTTATTTTTTTATTTCTATTTCTATTTCTATTTTATCTTATTTTATTTTTTATAAATTACTGTATATCAGAGTATCTACGTATCAATTTGCCATGCGCTACCTTTGAATGCAACCTACTTCATGTGAAAGACGATCGCGTGCGCGTGCGAAATGGTGCTTACGCGAAACAATATCCGTTACATCCACTGGAAATACTAGGTGCAAAGGACATTTGGACACAAGGGTGACTTAGTATTGATAAAAATACTTCAAAATTCGAATATGCCGTATATACTGTAAAAATACATCGATGTCGTGAATGGAAATACAGTATTTGGTCCTTTTGTGCATAAAATAAACCAGGAAAGGTTACTACTACGTGCATATAAACCAAAGACTCAAGTCGCATATAATGCCTCCATTCTCACGACCTCTTTCTAATTCGGATAATGATTTTAAGAGCGACAAAGACATCGTATGCCTACAAATTTTTGAAAAATCCCGTTCGCCCTCGAAAATAATTATCCATCTCAGATTTTACTTGCAAAGTGTCAGCATCCATTGTATTGTTTTTCAAAATTTTCTTTATTGACATTTGCAAGAATCATAAATTCTTGTTTTACCGTAATTAATTCAAGGATTTGTCGTTGGAAGAAATAAATCGCATAGAAAATATTCCAATCAGTTCTGTATGTGCAATACAATATTTGATTGTTGATGATAGAGAGTGGTAATGAACATACGTACTGCATGGTGCATGGATATTGAATAATCAAAGTGCAAAACATTCTATCTAGTTGATCACTTTCCCTTGACCCAAGAAAAAGAATGTACAAGCACAGGCGGAGATCTCGGCGAATGGGTTCTCATTCAATTTCTAGATCATCGAAACTTGGAAGTTGAAGTTCGAGCTGTTTGGATTCTGTCAAATTGCAATATTAGTTTGATGGAAAATAAGATTTGCATGCCCGTACGTAAATAGAAATTTGAGTTGACACCAATGTTATCTTACCTGCGGGAGTGGCATTGACCGGTTCAGGGAGTTGACTGCTGTATTTCAACAGTCGACTTGTGTACACGGCATTGGAATTCGTGGTATATTTAAGTGGTGAGAAATCGTTTGGATGGAAGAATTGCGAACGTGAAATCGAATTTTCAATTGATTTAACTTGTCTATAGATTTCGGACTCCTCGTTTTCATGATCTACATCTTCGTAATATTTTTCAAAGGTTTCCATCAATTCCTTCGCGGTTGGTCGATTCTCGGGTTTCGCGTCCCAACAACGTCTCATCCAATCCAAAAGCAGTTGAGGAACCGGGCATGCGATTTTAGGCCGGAGACCACTACAAATAAGAATAGCCAGTTCTTGATCATGCGGAACGTTGAAATAAGGAGGAAATCCCGTGAAAACTTCTGACATAATGATTCCAAGTGAATAAATGTCTGATTCTTTGGTATAATCTCTTCTTCTTAATACTTCCGGGGCAATATATGGAAGCACACCGTAAACTTCCTTTTGTGAATCCTTTTGAGTAGACTCTGGCCTGCATAAGCCGAAATCCGTGATATATGAAACACTTTTGTCAATCATTATATTACCAGAATGAAAATCTTTATGCATCAAGCCTTCTTTGTGAATTTCATAGAGACCGTTGACTATATAACGCAGGCTGCCCAATTTCTGTTCCCAATTTAGCTTTTTGTAACTGTCGTTCAGCATCGATCTAAGGCTCCCATTTTTTGCATAACGCATAACCATTGTGAATTTATTGCTTTCCGGATTTTTGGTAATACCATAGACTGCAATCGTGCTGCTTTTCCTGAACTTAAGTTGACTCCTAATCTAAAAACATCAAATTGACATAATTGTGATTAAACTTTTTTTCTCTCCATTCGTAATCGATGATGTTTAATGATATTTAAATTATTACCTCGTGAAGAAATTCATGTGAGAAGTTATGAAGACTTTTTAGGCAAACTATTTCGTGCCTATCCCACGAGTCCTCACCACTCCTCTTCCACCTTTTATTTTTGTGATCCCACCATTGGACGTATCCCTCAGTCCAAATGGCCTTATAGACAACTCCAAAACCTCCCCGGGCAACTAACTCTATATCTTTAAATTTTTCAAATGGAATCCATTCGATAAATTCCCTATATTCATTTGCGTCGCGTTGTATTTCCTGGATGAACTCATCAATTTCCTTGCTACCACTTGTCCATTCTTTCCATTCGCTCTCAAACCTTTTCACATTGCACGAATTGCACCACATGTATCCAGTATTTTTTTGCTTACATTTCTCGCACGTCCCAAAGTCTTTGTTTTCTTCGCTATCTGAACTGGATTGCGACTCGCTACCTAATTGTGTACCTTCAATAGAAATAGACGGATTTTCTCGTCTGTCATTCATACCTTAATTGCTACACAAGAAAGATGAATGGTTTGGATTTTATTATCAAAGAAATTGGAGTTATTGATTTCTATGGTAAAACTGCGGTTGATAAGACATAAAAAAAAAAAAAAAAAAGGGTCAATACCTTAAATTGTAATGCAAAAAAAAAAAAAAAAAAAAAAAAAAAAAAAAAAAAAAAAAATTTTTTTCCTTTCCCTGTTTTTGACCTGCAAAAAAAAAAAGTCTGAATAATCAAAAGTCAAATTTGCGTGTTCATTATGATAAGTGCTAAATGTTGTGAAATATAATATCGACTAACTGAGAAAAGATTTTCAAAGATACAATAATAATCCATCATGATTATTCTGGATATCGAACCAAACATGGCATCAATGACTGATTTCATACGTCCGGCTCCGGGTAATTTGTGACTTTTCGTTATTCATTGGTTACCTAGAGCTTGTATCATAGTGCACGGCTGAGTGGGGCAAAGGACAAAGTTTATTACAGCATGAGAAAGTTTATTGTGAATTTGTATCAAGTGTAATATAACAGAAATGGGCTTAACTCTTCTTTACATCATATCCAACTTTATTTCTATCGTGATCTAATCACCATTCATTCATTCGCGACAAAAAAGGAATAAGATTCGAGAACAGCCAGACCGACCTGTTCTCCAATATTGGGCATATTTTTTTAGGCTTGGAAAAAATAAATAAAAAAAATCAAGACGTGCAATTAAAGATTATATGTACTTCAAATCTTTTTCTTGCTAATATTCAGTATTATAATTTATATACTATATTAAAAAAAGAAATCTTACCATAATTTATTAGTACACACGAATATACTGTATATATATTATTTTTTAATAAAAATTTTTTGATAAAAAGTATTAAAGTAAATTATAAACATAAAGTTACGTGTGATTAATTTTGGATTTTTTTAAATAAATGATAATTTAGCTAAATATACAATTATTTCAGTTTTATTTCAAAAAATACCACTTTTTTAAAAAAATACCTTACATTATTCCAAGAATAAATGACATCGGGGTGTCGCTCGTGTATCAACCTTACGGAACTTGGTCGCAGATCAAATCGCGTAAGCCGTATTAATGTTTCGCGGAACTAACATTAGTTAAATATAATACAAATTAAGATAATGCATGCGTAAATATAAACTGTTCATAATAAAAATTTAAATTTCACAGATTTATATTATAAATAAAAATAGTTTTAGTAAAAAAAATAATTTATAAAAAAAAAAAATAATCAAATCATTTTTTATAGGAAACCTCGTATAAATCGATTTTTTTTAATTGGATTTTAAGATTATGAATTTCTTTTTCTTTTGTTTGATGACTAAGATGTTTCTTCGTTATTTGTATTTTTTGAAAAAATTGGTAAAAAGTTTCTTAAAATTAGATGTTAAATTTTCTTTTGGTGATGAAATAAAATTATTAATAGTTATTGTTGATTCATTATTGTAAATATTTTCATTTATTGTAAATTAAAATTATCAAATATTTCATTATTTATTTCTTCAATATCAATAATAATATTATCTATTTTATCATTATTTTTTTTAAATTTAATCAAGAATTTAAAAAAGCAACTAATTCTTCAATTTATACTTTATTATATTGAAAACAATAATTGTAAATAAAATCTAATAAATTATTAAAACAATTAATAGAATAGGAATATTTGTATAATAAAACCTTTATATTAAAATCTATATTATTATTACAAAATTATAAATTGCAAGATTTTTTTTTATTTGAAATTAAATTGATATGATATGTTGATAGGAAAATACCTTTTGCAAAACTTTTGTTAATTAATGGAATATAAAAATTATTTTGTTTTTTATCTTCTTCAATTTTAAATTTATTTTGTTTTGATAAAAATTTTTCAAAAAGATTAAAAAAAAAATACTTATCAAATTTGATAAATAATTTAATTGAGATTTAAAAAATAAATGGTTTTTTATTGTAATAGAAGATCCAATAAATTTTATTTTCTTATTCATTATCTATAAAAATAGTATATTTTTTAAAAGTTTTTGAATTTATAATTTTAAAGTAATATTTTTATAAACAAGGCTATAAAAATTTTTAATTAAATTTTTATTATTCATATTAAAATAGTTAAAAAATATTTCAATTATTAAATGTTTTGATTTATTCTATTAGAGAATATTTAATAAAAAACTAGTAATATTTTATTATATTTTTTTAATTATATCTTTTATAAATATATATAATTAATATATGGTTTTACAATATTTTTTAGAATGATTATATTTAAATAAATTTATATAGATATCTAAAATAGAAAATATAATATTATTTGAAAGATTTAAAATTAAATAAAATTTTCATTTTTAGAATTTTTAAAAACTTTTAAGAATTAGTATCTTAATTTTAATTTATTTAATATATAATAATAAATTTATTTGTCACAAATTTATTATTATTATTATTATTATTATTATTTTAGACCTGTGGGTCAATAGCACAGTGGTAGTGCTCCCAGGTCGCAATTACTAGATCTGTAGTTCAATACCACTTAAGGACCAAAAAAAAAAAAAATCAAAAATTACTCTTCTGATTAGATTTATCGGTTATTCTGTGAAAGTCATATTCAATCATCCAGAACAAGCTTTAATTAGGTTAGGCTATATGAAGATGGGACTTCTGGCCTTCCATTGATCAGGGTTGAGATCTACAGTCGTACTATTGAAAGAATTGCATGAAGAAAGGCTTCTGGTCTAACCCACTATAAATGCCTCACAAGACCTCCTGCCCTGACAATCTCCAGGACCTCCACCCTTCTAGCTCAGGATATCTCAATATAGTGCTTCGCTTAAATGAAAATCAGTCAAATAGGACTGATCCGATGCCACAGGTAGTGACAAAGAAGGTAAAGTGCCTCCTTCTAAGGTCTGAGTGAATAATATCTGGGAGTATTAAAGGGTAAATTAAATCCCGTCAGGTATATACTATACAAACTAATTTAGTGAATATAATTAAAAATTTATAAAAGCTCAATATTAAAATTAGCCTGTTTCACCATTGATAACTATGTATTAACTGTCCGGCCCCTAGCTGGATCTGCCCTACTCACAGAGTAGTTGGTGGGTCCACCTAGAAAAAACTACAATAGGTTATCATTAATCTGCATGTATATAAAAATATATAGTTTGTATGAGATAATTTATGTGATGCCCAGGATTTCATTATCTAAGATGTTAAGTTAATTCTTAATAAAAGCACTAGCATCTAATACTAGTTGAAATTTTTTAAAAAAAAAAAAAAAAAAAAAAATATATATATATATATATATATTATTATTTTTTTTAACAAATATATTTTTTATTAACCCATTCACCTGTGGCGCAGTAGAATTGGAAAAAGCGAACAACATAAACAGAACAACTAGGAGTGCAAACTCCAACTTTAGGCCTAACTACAACGAAAATAGTATGTCCAAGGGTAAGGCCGA